TTTTCATTTTTGTGTTTCAGGGCTAGCATCTAATCAAATACAGAATAAAACCTTTGGAAACACTTTACAAATATGATATCAGTCAATATTTATAATAAGTTACAGTAAACCTTATGTGCTACAGTGGTCACGAAGAAGACCTATCTGAACAACAACCAGAAAAAGACATCTCACCTTGATGGCGTAGCTGACCAGTGGGTTCTTGGCGTAGGAGGCAGTGTAGTAGACAGCATCTCCCGCCTCACAGCACGGTTTCCCAGTGGTCAGTCTGAAGTGGGACCAGCTGTCCGTGCCGAATCTCAAATGATCCTTCTGACCAGCCATGAAGCGGTCCTCACACTTTGACGATAACTTCTGCAGTGTATCTGTGTGTAGCCCCCGGATCCTCCCCACCACTTCGTCCCAGCAGTCCAAGCCCCTGTAAAGAGCGGGTCTCTGCGGTTTAGTGGCACCTCCTCCAGCAGTGCCTCGCCCTGCGGGTCGACTCTTCCCCGCCAGAGACTCTGTACTTGGGAAGACCTTTTTCTCTCTTCCAGATGTGGCGTTGGGAGCAGCAGGTGTAGGCTGGGGGACCAGAGAGGCCACGCTGTTAGTCAGGCGACATTTACCGGCAGCTGATGGCCTCTCCAAAGAGTCACCGCTCTCATGGTCATGGACTCGATGAGCCTCAGAGCTGAGGGAGGAACTCTGGCTGGCTGTCTCCCAGGTGGAGTCCAAGTCGTAGACGGGGTTGGCCACACTCAGGTTGGTTCCCCCAGGTTTAGCCTCAGCTCGAGGTCTTAGGGCTCCCTGACTGGGCTCTTTGCCTCCCAGGGTAGGTTCAGTGCTAGAACGAGGAACTTTTTTGGGTAGTGGCGGAGGCGTAGCTTTGGGCGCTGGCTGCTCAGCGGGGCCATCCAGATCGATGGAGGCCAAGGTATCGCAGGAAGATTTGATGTTCCGTGGCTGCTTCAGTGGGATCATATTAGCTCGTGATTGTCCTGGAGAGACAAAAACAAAATATGCGTGCCTTAAAATTCTAAATGATAAAATGCTAAACAAATGGTGTCTAAGTATGACCTTCAAGGGCCACTATCCTGCTTCTTTTAGTTGTTTCCTGCTCCAACACACTTGATTCAATGGTTTTATTAACACGTCTTCACGTTCTCTAGAAGCCCGTCAATCATTCATTCGGATCAGGTATGTTAAAGCAAGGAAACACAGAACGTGCAGATTAATGGCCCAGTCATTGCACATCTTGTGGTGTCTCTGATCAGCACACCGCATCCCCAAATGCTCCCCGGGTGCTTTCAATAGCTGCCCACCGCACCCCCTGGGCGTGGATGGGTTAAATGCAGAGAACCAATTTCACCATTATATGGAAACATACAATGATGACAACACATAATTATTATTATTATTTACTTGACTTTGCTCATTGATGGGGACAAAAGAATGAAATGTGTTGACATTATAAACTTGGTAATGGCATGGCACCACTTGGTATGGTAACTCAAGTACATCTGCATTAGTTAAAGTAGCCTTGACACGTTTGAATCAGTACAGTTTTATTAATGTCAGACTGTTTCACTGGACTACACTTCAAACAAAAACGTCAAACATTTACTCCACATTGATTTCCAACCCGTTTTTATTTATACATGCTTAGTTGGGAATCTTTCAGTCTTTCATGTGTTCAAAACATCGCAACCTTTATGTATTTAAAAATTTTAGTCTTTTAGATTTAGAGGGATTTTTTTTACATCAAGATGTTCTGAGTAAGTGGCCTAAAAAGATTTATAAAAACAAAACTGCACAGAAGGACACTGATATCAAAAGTTATATTAGATTAAAGTCTAAATTTTATTTTATTAAATACAAAAATGTAGTTTTCTGGCAGCTGCTACAGAGTTACTTGATTTTTTCTGAGGTCAGTGGTTTGAACAGAGGAGAACCTGATCATAGATTTGTGCTGCAGCCATTGGCGGACATGGTTCTGCTATTCCGTTAATAACAGAGCTAACTTTCTGTTTAGCGGATTAGAGTTTTTTGCTAACTTTGAAAACGTATAGCGTAATTAGCTTCTGTTAAATTTAAATCCGGTAAATTCAAGTCTGCTAGTTTTTCAAAAGACAGTTTTCTACACTAAAAGTGTACAAGAGAAAAGTGGTTTACACAGAGCTATGCTACGCAGAGCTAAGAAAAGCTAAGCACCTGATGATGTCACCACCCTCAAAGTGCTTCCCCCCGCCCCATATCTACCTCATGGTGTCGGATTACAGACAATAACAAAAATTTTACCATAAAAGCCAAACCAGAACAGGAAAATAACGTGTTGCACACATAATTCTTACCCAGCATGCTTTGCAATGGTCGCACTGCCTCTGGGACGTGACTCTCTCACACATTTCACACAGCTTTACTACATATACATTACTGAGAGAATATTGATCATGATGCACAGCAACTTTGTTGTTAGTTTATAAAAGTAGTCGACCACAAAGAGAACCGTTAAATTGAGTTAATTCATTAAAGTAAATGACACGAGGGAGACGTCCAACACACATTGAACGCATCACTCCACTTCAGCACAGCAGAGTTCTGCTCCACCTCTTTGATTCTGATGAACCCGATTAATCTCTGAAAGCTCACCTCTGAACGGGACATGGACGCTTGTGGTTTATGAATGAGTTGCGTTCACGTACAATGTGGTCACTTTACAGTTTTACGGGTTAGCGACAGCAGAGTAAGAGAGAAAAGTTAGCGCAGTAGTGTTAGCTTCTGATAATTAAATATATATATATGTTTAGCATTATCTAAGTTAATTTTTAGTTAGCCACTTTGTGGTTTGCAAAGCTAACTTTTGGGTTATCTGTGTCCACCACTGGATGTGGCACTGAAGGTAAAGGGGCAACCCTGAAGAAAACACAACTTGAAAGTGAGACAGCTGGGAATAAGTTGTTTCTCCAACTGTCCAGCTGCCAGCCCGTCTGCAGAAAAGCTTAAAAAGGCAACATGGAGCGCACATTTATTCTGGGCTTGATGTGTCCTTAATTTCTGAGAGGTCTCTGGGGGGGAATTAAAGGGTTTAGGGGTTGATTAGACTTCTTAAACCTTCTGTTGTTGGGAACCACAGAGGCAGAGGAGTCAGACAAATGTCCGATAAAATGAAATGAGCTGAGCAGTTGTGCTTTTTGCACGATAGGAATAAAGGGAGAACTATTATGTAGGTTCATAGTGTCACAGACAACCATCAGTGATGTTTTAATTCCCCAGGGAACACCCAGAAGTTTGGGAAGGTACTACAGAGTATAACAGAAGTCCTTTCATCACTGCTGCGAAGGCACACGTTTGACAAAAACTCCACTGATTGCAAATTCCAGTTGAACGGGATGAGTAACTCCTCACGTGGAAGTCACGCTGCCATCGCCTTAAGGATGTAGTAAAAAAGATTTAAGGCAGAGCAGTCGGGATGAAGTAAATGAGTCCTGGTAATCCTCCCTGGAAATGAACATATTAAATGCGTCCTGCTGTAATCCACCCAAGGAGACAGACTTCTCCCGTCAAACGGATCTTCTGATGCAGCAATGTGGCCGAGACTGGACTGAATTACATAACTCGCTTAGTTACACGAGGCGTTCCAATAAAAACATTTCAGATCAACCAATGGATGGATCTTAATGTAATTTTTTTTAGAACATACTGATTGGATGTAACGTTTGTAAAGTCTGATGCAAGATGGCGGCCACAGTCATTGGATTCAGCCAATTCTACAGATATTGAACTACCGGTAATATTTATTGTGGTGGCCGAGAGTCACTCACAGCACGTGTTACTGCACATCTTTGATTCAAACGTTGCCAATAACTGTTGGTGTCAACACTGTTATTTAGCAAAATATCTGATGAACTCGTGGACAAACTCCAGAAAAACTCTCAGATCACAATTACTGGGCGACATTTGAAGTCAACCCAATTCAAGATCGTTGCTAATCAACCTTAGCAAACAAATAAATGATTATAAATCTGCCAGTTTTACTGATACAGACTAAACTGAGCTGTGGTAGTTGCTTAGAGTCATTGTCAGTGCATACTTTGAGAGCCAACATCTACTGAGCTTGTACGAGTGCACATATTAAGGTTGAAATGTCGAAAACGACTTTTGTCTAAAACTGTAACTCAAAAACGTCGGCGGGTGAGAGGCATTTCTTCAGAGAATACTAGTTTAAAACACGAATAAAGTCCACCCAACATTTACCTGGATAAATAAAGGTTGAATGAAAATTAACTTACCGTAACTAGAATTACTTTTTTTAAATTTTTTAATCAGAGCTTGAGAAGGTAAGAAAAATAAAATACAGATGTAAAGTTTAAACACTGCCCACTCCTTGTAAAAACTTTATAGAGTTTAGAGACTTTTTCGATGCTGCAATTGGCGCAATAACCTCAAAGAGGAATATAAAGTTAGATTATTTAAAATGTTTCCGCTGTAAAATCTCAATTTCTCAGTATGGATATCAAAATGAATTCCACCTAAAAACAATTCTTTCACAAACAAACTGTTACAAACACATTCTTCCTGGTTACTGATGTCCATTTTGGGGTTTGTCTGAAGGGTAAGGCACTGCTTCCAGACCTGCTTTAAAACATCTGAAAAACTGAACTAATCTACAGTAACTCTTACACTGAAATAAAAAGAGAAGTAGAACAAAAAAGGATAAAATTAAGCAGATAAATGCATGGTAGGAGACGCATGATGAGCAGAGAAGACTGGTGAAGATCATGAGATAAAACAAGTGAAACAGGCCTACCTTAATGTTAAAACAGCCTAAAGTTACTGAGATAAATCAAGTGAAACAGGCCTACCTTAATGTTAAAACAGCCTAAAGTTACTGAGATAAAACAAGCGAAACAGGCCTACCTTAATGTTAAAACAGCCTAAAGTTACAGAGATAAAACAAGCGAAACAGGCCTACCTTAATGTTAAAACAGCCTAAAGTTACAGAGATAAAACAAGCGAAACAGGCCTACCTTAATGTTAA